TAGCATGATGTTAATGTGAGAGATTAGCATGATGTTAATGTGGGAAATTAGAGGGCACGGAAGTGGCTATGTTAATGTGAGAGATTAGCATGATGTTGATGTGGGAAATTAGAGGGCACGGAAGTGGCTATGTTAATGTGAGGGATTAGCATGATGTTGATGTGAGAGATTAGCATGATGTTAATGTGAGAGATTAGCATGTAACTGTAAGCTAGGAGAGCGGCCTCCTAGACGAGGGCACGGAAGTGGCTATGTTAATGTGAGAGGTTAGCATGATGTTAATGTGAGAGATTAGCATGATGTTAATGTGAGAAATTAGCATGTAACTGTAAGATAGGAGAGCGGCCTCCTCGACGTGGGAGTGCAACCCAACGGGTGTAATCCGAAGGGCCTGTGAGTATGAGAGTGCAATCCGGAGGCATGAGAGTGCAATGCAACGGACATGTGAGCATTCTTTAGAGTTGCTTTTTGTGTGTGGTTTGTTGTCCTTCCCCGCACCTCCGATTAGCATGGTTGGCTACGAAACAAGGTTAACATACATGCACGCATAAAATACTACGTGTTGTCTGCTTCACAGAAGGCATTAGAGACCCCCCCCCCCCACTCGACATAATTTGGAAATGTGCGGGCCATCATGTGCTTGCGTCATGGTCCAAATGAGCCAAATTTGAATAATGATCTGCAAATTCTTTAATTAGGATTAGACATTGCCATCGTTGTGCCCTACTGGCAGACTAATGGCTGATTTAGGGCCAGATGTTAAGCCACCTTGCGCCTACAGAGATAGCTGTCACTGAGGGTGATCTTTCAAAACGTACACGACGTGGTGCCAGGTCTCTTGCGTGCTTGCCCGAATCGTAAATATTTAAAACGTGTCACTTTGAAATTGACATCTGTCTTATTCAGATGTCCATGACTCGATACTCATTTCAGAAAATGTACTCATAACTCTAAATTTCGATTTAAAGCTTTCGTGACTGCAGGGATTCATCTTCTTGGTTCTTTCGGTAAAGTCACCACGTAGAATGGAAATAATAAAATAATAAAAATAAAACATTATAAAATTATTCTCACGACGTTTCGGCTACAGCGCAAGCAGCCGTCCTCAGGTGGAGAGCAGGTCTGTCGAGTAGACAGAGTTTGTATTCAGTCTACTCGACAGACCTGCTCTCCACCTGAGGACGGCTGCTTGCGTTGTAGCCGAAACGTCGTGAGAATTATTTTATGATGTTTTATTTTTATTATTTTATTATTTCCATTCTACGTGACTTTACTCATAACTCGTTATATTCCTCATGGTCACTTATTTTGGGGGATGGGGGGGGGGGGGTTAGGTCACGTTTCTGTAAAATTGCCGTACACTCATCTCCACCCGACACGGCCAATTAGTAAGGGTTGTCACGTGAACAGAACAAATGCCAATTGGTCACGAAACCCTACGCTGTTATATTGTTGCATGTTTTTGTTATGGCTGGAGATAAGATACATGTGGAAAAGAGTACTGTAATAGCCAACACAATCTCGCTGATAATAGGAATGAAAAGTTACTACTGTTTCTCATTCACCCTGAAACAAAATACTGCATACACAATCTTATACTCTGTTATATATAAGGGAAATCAAAAGCATTTTATAAACAAATAGTTATATTTCACCGTGGGGTTTAACAGCAAAATGTCCAGTTCACATCTCTTTTTTCCATTACAAACCTGTAAAATAAACAGATGTGTGGAAATGACTTGCGAGACTGATAAGTGTAGATGTGTTCCAATCAAAACACAACAACAACAACAACCATGACTTTTGCGGTCATGACTACCGTAGCTGACGTAAGCGGTGTAGGCAGGAGGCCTCCATCGTGCAAAGGCAAGCACAATAATAATAGCCACACCTGGGATCGATTCAGCCAAACACACAGCAGCTGCCTTACCTGGGGCTGTTACTGTTATGGGCTCTCAATCATACAACAAAATAAGAAAAACCGTGCACACGCGTAGATTTTATCATGCTTTCCAACATGCGTTTGTCCTCGGAAGTGGGTGTCTCTTTTTTTTTAAATAATTGCGTACAATCTGCTGTGACACATGGATCAGAAACTAGTAGATTAACGAAGATGTTGGAACACAAATGGAGCGGAGTGTAAAACAGCGCAGAGAGGATTCGGCTTTAAGAGTTTCATTGGGAGACAGCAGGAGGAAGGGAACATGAGAGTGTAGCTTTATTCAAATTGATCTACTTGTTAAGCTGACACCTCTGGATTGTGAGTCGAGTGAGGTGTTCCTTGTAGCCTATACAACGTGGCCTTCAACGGCATTCACCCATTATACTACCAATTGCCTTTAAGCCCAGCATTACTCATATACGTCATCACTGGGCATTACTCTCACGTGATCGATCTTTCGACCATTGCCTGTCACATTTATGGAGGTAAGAAAATAGTCCCCTCTAACGAAACAGCCCCCCGCAGTTCCCCTTGCAGCTGTTAACTTTCTTCCCGAGACCAATTTTTCCTTTGTTGAACATCTGCCGGAGTCTATTATCACAGATCTTGCCATATGGCTTCCTATTGTAATCTTGCAACAAAGCGGAGACTCATGATGATAATAAATCCGCCAATCACACTCAAGACAAAGTCGAGTGCGGAATGCAAAATTTGTCACCTGTAGGCGTTTTGTTTCTTCTTCCCATTCTCACATTAGATTCTGTTTTTACCCGAATGCCATCCACAAGCTAAGGTACAACACGTATTGGTAAATTATATATGCAGCTGTAACAGCAGTGATATGTGCTGTCACATTTATAACGTTTTATAATTTGCTCAAAAGTGTTTGAATGAGGAAATGTGTTTTGATTAATAAGCAGTAATTCCTCCAGAGTATCATATTTTTCATCTTGTTTTTTTTTACTAATTATCAACACGAATATTGCATGAACATATTTACTTAATGATATAAAGTATTTACAGCCCTGCCAATTCATTGCTACATTAGGGCCTCTCCACACCGTGTCTGTTATGGGGTGTTTGACCATACGTCACCACGACAGAGGGGTAGATGTCACTCACCACTCATGTCAGCCATGGTCAGAAATTACAATAAGATTGCTGGGCTCACGGTGCAATGCAATTATTGTGAAAATATCGAACAGGTTTTGAAATCGGCTCGTGTATGTTTGTTGAACTTCTTTCGCACCGTACGTAGCCAACCGTGCCAATCGGAGGTGCGAAACTACGCGGCTGTTTGCATCACAGGGCTGCTGAGAGATGGCGAGGACTTTGGGAGGACTTCATCTTGCAGTGGACTGAGCCATTGCTGCTGAATATATATTTAAAACCCTTGCTACAGTTTTGTTTGCACCTCTTTCGCACCCTGCAAACATTGCACCTTTGATTCTCGCTTCATTGCCCCCTCCTGTGTAACTGAAGGGTCACCACAACGGGATCCCTTCTGCTCTCAACGTGGCTTACGAACGGACGGATGGGCTCGGTATGAAGCGGCCTGCCGATGCAAGTGTTTTGGCCTGGGCAACCTCCAGCCACGTGTATTCGTTAACACTCCCTTCGGCGTGCACGCTGCTTGTTGAATCCCTTGCAAATATTAATTGGTTTGCGATCGGAAACCTTGGCATCGTAAGCGCTTGCAGAGGCACTGTTTTGAGTTTTAATTAGAAAAATGCTAATGAGATTGGGTTGCGTGTTACTGTCATGTGCCGAGCATCACAACGTGCCTTCGTGCGTGTGTGGTGTGTCTGAGAGCTGTTGCGTATCAGTTAGCGCGCTGCGCTAGAGACCCATCGGCCCGAGTTCGACTCCCTCTCACGGCCAACACCACAGTGACAAGTTATCGAAACCGGTCCTGGGCCTCCCCTAGGTCGACTGAGCCTCAAATGAGTACCTGGTACGGTGTGTAAACATCGTTACTATGGAGACAAAGGCGGCCGGGCGTGGTGCTAGCCACCCACCCTCTCATGTTCCGTGCCGGCCTTCATAGGTGCTCGCTAACAGCACTTGCCCCAACAAGTCTGTTAAGGCTATACGGGGGATCTCTGTCTTTGTCTGAAACGCGCATCTCGTTTAAATACGCTGGCTTCTGCCTGGCTTTTGCCTGGTTTTTGAATGCAGGAAGCAAATGTATCTGTATATCTCTAATGGAAATTGCATCGAATCAAGTGGGTAATAGACGATGTATCTAATTGATTAATCTGACCTATATGCAGCCACCGACTCGTGTTCATTGATAGGACCCTCCTGCAAAAGTCAATTCTTCAGTAATCCGCACTTACTAGCGTCATGAAGTATGGCGAAATTACCTCTGTGACCGATACAGGGTGGGGAGAGGCCTTCTTCCAGCAGTAGATTGACAAAGGGCTGCAAATTTCCTTTAACTCTTAATATTAATACACAACGCAAACAAAAAGTACACTCTAAAGATAAATACTACATCGGTTGAATTTATAACATCGATGCCCAGATGTGCAGATCATGCATCCATTTAAAAATGGTGATTAAGCAATTCCCTTCGATTATTAATTAATTAACAGGCTTATGAATGTCTATCAAATATGGAGCGCGTGATTGCACGCATGCTCCCATAACCCACGGAAGGACAATGCACGTGAGTGACTGCTTACGGGAGAGGTATGTATGTATGTATGTTAAACTTCTTTCGCACCATACGTAGCCATCCGTGCTAACCGTAGGCGCGGGAGAAGGACAACAACCTAAAGAAATGAGATTTCACTATACAGTAGATTTAAAAGTGCACGGGCTCCAGTGGCTTCGTAATATCAGAAAGAGGAGCGTTCCAGACGACCGCAGAAGTGCATCTGAAAGCCCGCGATGTGCTGTTGCACACAATGCTCATCATCTTACCGGCTGACACGTCATCGTATGGTGTGTGGACAGAGGCGGTGCACGTGGAGAGAGATGCGGTGCACGTGGCGAGAGATAGGAGCTGCGTTTCCAGTCGTGGGGAATATTCCCAATGGGTGCGTTCTCTTACCGCTTGGGGTCCATCAGCTTGTAGAGGCGGCCCGTGTGAGTCTGCCCTGATATCTTGCTGTTTGTCAGGAGGTACATCTCACCTGTTTCCGCACAGACACACACATGGAGACATACACAGAGACTTAAGATGTCACGTATCGTCTTTGACAGACCGTTGGGGCAAGCGCTGTTCGTGAGCCATCATTAAGGCTGGCACGGCACGCGAGGAAGTGGTGTGGCCAGCACCATACTTGGCCACCTTAGTCCCCTATCCCCCAATTGCTGATGTTAGCACACACACACTACACCAAGTATCCACGTATGGCTGAGTTGACCTAGCGGAGGCCCAAGACTGGTTCGGATATCACTTGGCACTGATGTTGGGTGGGGTCCGGAATCGGTCAGGTTGCCCGGTTCATAGTGCACCACTCCCCACACATACAAACACACAAAGACAAAAATCCCCCGTATAACCTTAACAGACTGTTGGGGCAAGTGCTGTTAGCGAGCACCTATGAAGGCCGGCACGGCACACGAGGGGGTGGGTGGTCAGCACCAACACCAATATCTGCCATACGTCACTAGGGCATTTGGCCAGGCAAGGTGCACTTTGAGAACACGTAAAGTGTCGAAGGCTCGCTGACAGGAGGTCACGGGACAGACCCTGCAGGTGCCATAGGTTGACTGATTGATAAGACTGGCAGACGCAGCAGCTGTGCTCCCTACTGTGCCAACTTGCTGCATTTTAGCCGCCCGGCGTTCCGCCCGTTGTTGTGAACGTCGCTCCTCTGCCCTCAGTTGTTGGAGGGCGACTGCCTCTAACTGCCCAGTAGCATCCTTCACGTGGCCAGCACCACAACCACACCCATACAAACACGTATACCAACACATGCACAGAAAACCACATGCACAGGTGAATATATTGACATGTCATGGTCATACTCTTTGTTTTTTTCGGTAAAGTCACGTAGGTAAAAATTAAAATAAATTAAAACTAAATTAAATCACGACGTTTCGGGCGCAACACAAGCGTCCGTCATCAGGTGGGAAAGCATGGTCTACTGCTGATGCTTTTAATTTTTTACCTCCGTGACTTTACCGAAAAAACCAAAGAGTATGAATCCTTGCAGTCACGAAAGCTTAAAATCTAGAATGTCATGGTCAATTATACACTCGCGCTTCAGCCAAGTATAATTGCCCATTATATAACAAAGATCAGTGTTCAACCCTGGTACTTGGAACTCAATTTCACGATGACACTTCAACGGTATGTATATACAAATGGAAACCATCGATGCTCATTCATTTAAATCCTTTCCAGTACTCGTTAGAGGGACAGCAATTCATCGGCGCGCTTATTACTTGCTTTACCTGCAAACAACTGTTATTTCGATTTCTACACACCGGTGATCAATTCGTGTTGTGTAAATCAATTAACCCCCAAAAAAACCCCACATGCGTGCAGAGCCCGAGCCGCCCCACCCCCACCACACTGCGTACCGGTCTCGTCTTGAGCGACGGCAATGAGGGTGCCTTGCAGCCTGCCAGAAAGCCCCCCCTGGCAAATGTCCTCTCCTCCCAGCGGCAGCTGGCTCTGCTGCCACGCACGGTTTAGCGACATCAGCCTCCTGACGCAAGCAGACCGGGGGGGGGGGGGGGGGGGTGACGTAGGCAGCCATCGTGAGTTTTGCAGCAACGAACCATTCTCTAAACCCCCCACCACCACCACCGCCACCGCTGACTCCGGTGAATGTAAAACCCATCCAATAAGAACCACGTTCAGGGCACGGGGGACATGGGTTTTGGCAAGGAACGCGTAGCATGGCGCGAAATTAATGACCGTCACCACCGGTCACATTCACGGCACCTCCGATTACGTAAGCGCGAAAGAAATTCAACGTGCGCACAGCACCCGGTTCCTTACGGGCGTAACAAAAGGGGGGGGGGGGGGGGGGGGAAAGGTGCAGCCGTGCAATTGCTCGCTCATGCCACTGCTGTCGGAAGGGCCTGAGGGGAGCTCAAGCGAGCCCTGTAAGAGGGCTTTTTGTCTATTCGTACAAGCTGCGCAGACGTCGTGGGAGAAGCGGGAGTGCCCACACTTTACCTCACCACACGTGACCTCTTGATCGACGAACAGTGGTTCTGCTCGGTGGAAAGAGGCGAGTAGGGAGAGGTGGTGGGTTGGGGATTTATTTTAATTTCAGCCGCCGCGCCAGGAGATGGTTTTGAACCACAAACCTCTAAATTGCAAGTCGTTGTTTGCTAAAAATTACACACAGTGGCAGCATCCCCTGACGTGTGCAAATGTGTCCTTGTGCATGCTGGGTCTGAAAATGCATTCGCAACAAACATACCACGGCCACGGCGCGCCTGTCACAATTCCGAGCCGCAATTCTATTTTAGAAGTGTGCTTTTATTAATCGCGTTGCTGCCGTCTCGTCTCGAGTTGCGTTGACTTTGGTTTCACCTCATGCCTGCAGGTTGGTTGACGTAATTCGCCGAAATGTGACATTCGCATACGCGCGTGCGTGTGTGTATAAAGCCAGTCATCTCATGTCAGTCCACCCATGGCATCTGTGTCTGTCCCGCGACGTTCTGTCAGCGAGCCTTCGACACTTCACGTGGCCACAAAAGTGCACCTGGCCTGGCACAGACGCCGTGGTTATGCCACGCGCCACTTAGTGGCGCGTGGCGGCTGTTGAGTTTGTCGCCGTTTACATAAATCGTCAACGCTCGCATGCTCGATTCGATACGCGTTTCGCGAGCGGCATGAGGCTCGAGTTTAAGTCGACTAATCAATTCATTGTCGTGTTCCTAGGTGGGCACCGTCTCATTGGGAAAGAATGCCGCTCCCCCAGAAGAGTGCCCGATGCATTATTAGAGAAGGGCGCCACCTACGGAGCATTCTTCTTACACGGATACCAGCATCGTGCAACGTTGGATCGTGGCTCACTCACCACACTTACCGGCTGGAGGGATTCCATTAGCGGGTCTCCGCTCTCTGTCCTATTTGATCAGTTTCCAGTCAAGTAGGGTGGGGCGGTGGGGGAGGGTTGCTGCCATGCTATTTGAGGGCTGTATTCCAAGGTGTTTTACACCCAGGGAGACCGAAAGCCGTACGTTCGCCGCTCGCAATTTACTCCGCAACGATTTCCGAGCCCTGGAAATGTCGTGGGCATCAGCGCTGATCGCCATCACAGCGTGAGAGGCAGGGGGACGGGCGAGTGCGATGAATGTGGCTTTTAGCTCCCATTCCCAACACTGCTCAACGCTCTCCCCCCGCCTGAGCTCGCGGGACGCGGTGAGACGGGGCCAGAGGGCAGCTGTGCGATTGCCCTCCTGAATAGCACGCACGCCATGGTCGTTCACCAATTCGGCATTCGGGACAATTGAAGTGACAGTCGCAATTCTAGATTTGAAGCTTTCGTGACTGCAAGGATCCATACTCTTAGTTTTTTTGGTAAAGTCACGTAGGTAAAAAATTGAATTAAAATTAATGAAAGTAATAATAGAAATCAAATAATAAATCACGACGTTTCGGAGGCAACACAAGTCTCCGTCATCAGGTGGAATCTGGCTGTGACGGTCCCACCTGATGATGGAGACTTCCGAAACGTCGTGATTTATTATTTTATTTCTATTATTACTTTATTAATTAAATTTTTACCTACGTGACTTTACCGAAAAAAACAAAGAGTATGACCATGACATGTCAATATATTCACCTGTGCATGTGGTTTTCTGTGCATGTGTTGGTATACGTGTTTGTATGGGTGTGGTTGTGGTGCTGGCCACGTGTAGGATGCTACTGGGCAGTTGGAGGCAGTCGCCTTCCAACAACTGAGGGCAGAGGAGCGACGCTCACAACAACGGGCGGAACGCCGGGCGGCTAAAATGCAGCAAGTTGGCACAGTAGGGGGCACAGCTGCTGCGTCTGCCAGTCATATCAATCAGCCAACCCATGGCACATGGCTTGGTCGTGGACTTGTCCCCATTAGAGGTGACAAAGGGAGTGCAATAAGCTCCTGTCCGATCACAAAGTGTCCCGAAAGGTGTTGCACAACGGCACCGTCACAGCCATTGGCTGCGCCGGTGCCTGTTGTACGTAGCCAGCCGTGATAATCGGAGGTGCTAATCAGGGCTGTTTGTCGACCATCTGTAATCTGGAGGGGTTTATTCCCCAACCCCACCACCTCCAGAACTGAGATCCTCAAGAAAATGTGTCCTGTAAGCGCGGACTTTTCCAGTCGAGTAAAAAGGTTAAGATTCCCATTTATATGCCAACGTAGCATGTCATTTACAGGATACGGCTGTCCTCTCGGCATTCCATTTCACAAAACAAAAAGCATATATGCCGGTGAGAGAAATAATACGTGTGTGCGCTAAATAGCCCTTCCCGTGTACGTTAAAATGGAATACTAATTCAAAATTATAGCCAAGCATATGATCCAATTAACACACGTGAAAAGCAAATAATGAAAGAGGCATTTACCACTTGTTTATTTATTTGCATATCTATCTAGGAAAGCCTAATGTATCCTGAAGACTCACTTTCACGAGGGTCCTGCATTGGGATGTTATGGACAATTTCAATAATGTGTGTTTTATGGGTGGGTGGAGAGCAGAGTACCCAGAGACAAACCCACAGAGATGTGTATTCGTGAACCCACTTGCTGTACTGTGACTTCTTGGTAACCTTTGAACCTAGCGAATGTTGTATTCTGAAATCATTTGTACAATAGTACCGTTGCATCTTTTCGCACGTGAACGTAGTTGCTCTGTTAAGGCTGTAAACCAAGCACATTAAACCCCTGGGAGTCCGGCAAGGACTCATTTCACACGGACGCAAATTCCCCCACCACTCCACGCTCTTCTGAGTAAGCAGAACACCAGCTTTGTGGCACAGGATTGAGAAATGTTGTACGTAAAGGTGGAGCCCTGCAATTCCTTGCTCATGGCACTGCTTGTCAGAAGGGCCTCCTCCTAGGAGGTATTATGGGCCTGCTCTTCCATTAATGGATGTTTTAACTTAACATTCCAGCAACCAACAACTACTGACTTGTGTTATTATCCAATTGGCAGCTTTAAAAATCGGCATTAATCTACACTTAACCGATGAAACCCAACGATTGGAAAATATCAGTTGCATAAATATAACATCACTTTAATTAATTAATCTTTAAAATACTGCCCAGTTGACATAACAGCAGGGCTCTCATACTTTATCAGAACATTTAAACTGGAGGAATCCGATGAGCTATAAAGCTCTTTTTCACAGATGTCCAGCAGAGGCGGGTAAGAATGTTACAACAACAAACAGTACAAGATCCAGGATGGTCATGTCTATGCGCCGCTTCTCGGTGGCAGCCCCAACAGTCTGGAACGCTATCCCTCTGCACATTCGCAGCATCACCTCAATCGCCTCCTTCAAGAGACACTTAAAAACTCACCTCTACAATCATGCTTTTGAGCGACTCTGAGCTTGGCTCCGCGCCTCTGAGTTGCGGCCACTACGTCTGCAAATTTGCGCGTGTTACAAATTGAACTATTATTATTATAAAACATGATTGAGTTCACACACTGGTGAGTGTCACCCAAAGCCTTCATCATAGTCTTTCCATGTCAGTAGAGTGAGTGAACACACAACCCTGGCTAAGCTTCACACGGTATTGTGTGTCCCCAGCTTTTGTCTTATGGACGCGACTGGGCCCTGCCATACAAGCGTGGTATTTTCATGCTTTCCAACAAGAATCTTTCTTATTTTTTTGATACCTCATTGAGTGTTTTCTACAGTTGGAACAACACTAATGTTTCAGCAGAGCCTCTTGGCCAAATATACTCGATTCTTCTTCTTAAAAGTTGTGGTAGAAATTCCGTCTAATCTATTGTCAGTTCAATGCCAGACACAACCAGTGCCGGATTATCCTAATAGCAAAAGTAGCTACATATGCTACAGGCCCCGGACTTTCAAGGGCCCCTCGCTAATTGCTTTCAAGCGATCAATTCCGATTCAGTGATTCTGCACTTGCTATATTACTACAGTACTATACCGCCTTAAACTGGGTGTTTAAGTCACGTAGAAAGAAAATAAATTAAATAATAGAATACGACACTGTGTGTCTATGTTGTGTGTCTCTCTCTGTGTCTCTGTGTTGTCTCTCTCTGCTTGTGTGTCTGTCTGTGTGTCTGTATTTTGTCTCTCTCTCAAATTTAGTTCTACCTGATGACGACTGCTTGTGTTGCAATCGAAACGTCGTATTCTATTATTTTATTTATCTCCTTTCTATGTGACTTTACCGAAAGAACAAAAGAGTAAATTACTGCAGTCACGAAAGCTTCAAATCAAGTTTGGGTGTTTAAAGTTCGCGATTTGTCGTATTATCTGGCTTATATCAAATGAAAAAATACAATTACTTTGCTATGCAAGTGAAAAAAGTGTGGTTAAATATGTATGTGTTTTTTGTTCAATGATTGTAATAATCAGAAGCACCTGGATTATTAAGAAAATATTTTAATTATTGAATGCTGCACCAATGCATTTAGAATCACCACCATTTTAGTGCCATGTTTTTTTTTTTAAAAGACACCGTTATAAACACATGGCATAGTCAATGAACCTGAACCTAAT